TTTTTTTTTTTTTTTGAGACAGAGTCTCACTATGTCACCCTTAGTAGAGTGCTGTGGCATCATAGTTCACAGCAAACTCAAGCTCTTGTGCTTATGTGTTTCTCTCGCCTCAGCCTCCCAAGTAGCTGGGACTACAGGCACCCACCACAACACCCAGCTATATTTTTGTTGCAGTTGTCATTGTTGCTTTAGCTGGCCCAGGCCAGGTTCAAACCCACCACCCTCAGTGTATATGGCCAGAGCCCTACCCAACAAGCTATGGGTGCCGCCCTAAAGCAAATATTTCCATGTCTCCTGCTAATGGACTCACTGTGTACAGCATAATTTTTTCTTTTTAAGAGGCAAGGTCTCAGCCAGGTGCAGTGGCTCACATCTATAATCCTAGCACTCTCAGAGGCCAAAGAAGGAAGATTGCTTGAGCCCAGGAGTTGGAGGTTGCTGTGAGCTGTGAGCTGTGAGGCCACAGCACTCTACTGAGGCTCTGTCTCTAAAAAAAAAAAAAAAAATCTCTGGCTAATGCCTCTCTTACCCTTGGACAACCTACCCAGGCAGCATCAATGTCTTCTGAGTTGCCTCAGAAACTCAAGCTGAAATTCCTCTTCTGCCCACCTCCCTGCAGCCCAGCAGCCTCACTTACCCGCCTCCTGCCTCCAGGTGGAGCCCTTAGACCCCAAGAGCCAGCTTGTGGCTTTCACTCTTACCAGACAAGCTATTTCAGTGTCTTTTGCTTTGGGAAAAGATTAACTGGACCCTGTCATTCTCTCCCTAAGGGGTCTTGACATGAGAAAAAAATGATTCCCCATTGGTAGCCCTATCTATGCAACTTCAGCTTTCCCTGTTAGCCATGTTTGCAGCAGGAGGCTCATTTAATGATGCCCCTTGAGGATTGGAAAAATAACACAGAAACAGCACACCACAGCCACAGCCCCAGGTTATCTGCCGTGTCAGTTTTCTTTTTATTTCTCTTCCGTTATTTCATCCTGGCTATCTCCTGACCATCTTTGTTCTGGTTAAAGTTGTGACTAGGCAGCACCTGTAGCTCAGTGGGTAGAGCACCAGCCACATACACCAAGGCTAGCAGATTTGAACCCTACCCAGACCAGCTAAAACAACAACTACAACAAAAACAAAATAGCTGGGTATTGTGGTAGGCACTTGTAGTCCCTGCTACTTGGGAGGCTGAGGCAAGAGAATGGCTTAAGGGTGGTGCCTGTGGCTCAGTGAGTAGGGCGCCAGCCCCATATACCAAGGGT